TTTTGTGAAGGATACCTTTGTACAGATGGTACAGAAAGTGCAACTTAGCATCTGAGAACATGTATTCTGGGCTTGGGTTTTCTATAACATTATAATTGTGGGATTGAAAAGAACCTTGGTGCATATCAGATGTGTTCCTGGGCAAGACTCTGCCCAAATTATTTAAGAAAGCTGACTTTCCCCACTTCATCATTTTTTCAGGGATGGTGATTACATAATTGACCTTCTCTGTAAATTGTCACTTAAGAAACAGTATGAAAAGAATGGTGGTATAGTGGTGGTAGTGGATAGCAATTGATTGAATTATAATCCCATTAATTTTCCTTAAATATGCTGAGCAGAAGGGCATGTTCTGTTTCAACATAAAAGGAGAAAAATGAACACTTTACTAACTTAGCAAAAAAGTAGAATCAATTATGAACAGAAAGAATTATGGGATTCCTCACTCAGTTTTACTTAAATTCTGGTTTACAAATAGTTGAGAGAATAGAAGAGTGGACATCATTTGGGGCGTTTCTTTTTTTCCTCCAGTGAATTCTTTTATCAGGCAGGATGGGCATATCGATAGGCCCCATCATACACTGATGTGCTCCAGAATCTCTTTAGAATAAAACTGTTGGGAAATAACATGTCAATGTCACTGGGAAGTGGTGAAGCTAAAATGTGATCATTAGAAGGTGATCCATTCCAATTCTTTTGCTATTGATTTAAGATCTGAATGAAGAAAGAAAAAAAACTAAAAAAGAAAGTAGCTGTAAAAAGGAAGAAGAGTTTCAAAGCCTTTGGATTTTTGCACTTTATCTAGATAGCTAATAACATACTTTTATTTATGTGAAATATAAATTATATCAGCAATATACTGTGTTTTGAGGGAGGATGAAATATACCAGCTTTATTTTATGGTCTATGGTTTGAGTGTTCAGCAATACCCAACTTTTGCTATCTGAATTCCTAATGGATAGTGCGAAGGTCAAAAACATGGAAAAATTATCAGGAAATCATGCAGATATTTAATGCCCTTATGTATGATTCCATTTGTATGCTTGTTTGATTGGCTATTTAAAAATTAATGAAAGGAAGCCATTAACTAAAAAGTTATGGTTTAGTATGCTTGAAGACAGAACATTATATTTATATGGCTTTTAAAATCGTTGAGGACTTTAGAGCCTCATAATAATGCTATAGAGGAAGTTAGGACAGAGTTACTATCTTCTTCTAGCATCTTTTGGACGAGGGAGGCAAGGCACATGGAGGCTGTGTCACACACACACAGTGCTGAACAACATGGCTGGGATGGGGCATCAATAATTCTAGAGTACTATCTGTGTTCTCAGCCAGTTCTCGAAGTGTCATTAGAGGATCCTGAAGATTCTGACAGGTCAAAACTATTTTCATAATAATACAGAGGTGTTATTTTCCTTTTTCCATGGTCATCTCAGCAATATAAAGACATTTACAAAGACTACCCGAGTATTAAAATATCATTATTCTGATGGCCAGTGGAACATAATGTAGTGTGTGTAATCTTGTGTTTTAAAAATTTGGTCAGTTTGTATTCATAATATGGTAAATATTGATAAATAACCTACATAGACATTATAAAACTGAAGAGTTTAAAGAGGTTCCAAAACAAAAAAAGTTTGAGAACTGCTGCTTCAGACATGTGTTAAGCCTGTGAGAGGTAAGATTTCCTTTAATGCTGAAAACACCTCTGCTAGGCAGCCTCTGTTATCATCCCCACTGGGTACATGAGGAGATGAAGGCCTAGAAAATTTAATGACTTGCAGAGAAAGTCATGTAAATAGGAAGTTGCAAAGTCACATTTGAACCCAGGTTTCAAATTCTTAACTATTCTGTTGAATGTGCTGTTAGGCATGCTGTCTCTCAGAGAAGCACCAGGAAATGCCTGGATATGACACTAACATTTCAGAAGAGGAACCAACTTCTCCTCATAACCCAGGCCATGCCTCAGGGAATGTAGATAAGAAGAGTAGCCTCCTGGACAGTGGAAAGCAGAGGCCATACTCTAGTAGCTTATAGGCTGAGTCCAGCCGACAGATATGTTTGACTCGTCTTTTACAAATGTGAAAAATCAAATGACTAGATATCAAATTTTTATTGTGGGAGATTTCACTTTAAAAAGGTAAGATTGCCAGCTAAACTTAAAAATCAGAAGGTCTAGCTTGACTGGATTGATATTACCAAATGTCTATCATCAACTGCAGCTTATAGCAGCTATTTCTTTTAGATGAGACATGTGTGCTCTAGTTAGCCACAGACCTCACGACTCCCTGTTACCCTACAACTCATGTCCCTCATTTATGTTACCTGTTTTAAATGTTTAGATTGGAAACAATTGGAGATTTTCTGCCTGCTGCATTATATTTACAGCCAGTCTATTCTCAACTTACTTGAAAACCAAAAAGGCATTGACAGTAAAATTACAAAATACATCCCACTTTGATTAACCCAACCTAGATATATTAGAGACCTCAATGACAATGCTAAATAGAGAGGAAGTTGTTTCTTTCCTTACAAAAGCATAAAATTCTAATTCATTAAAGAATAAGGATCTGCCAGTGAATTAACATTTATTTTTAAATGTGCAGCCCTTTCTTTTTTAAGTGTAATAGTGAAATAAGCACATTACACCCATTGCCCTCATTTTATGTTTATTTTAGTAATGTCTGTTGTCCTCATCATTATCGTGTCTGGACCCTTTATGAAACTTAAAATGTCTCTGTGAACCTCTGTGTGCATGTTAGATCAGTCATTTGAAACAATTTGAGATTGTCAACCTAAAGAACTTCATTATCCTGGGCATTTGGACAGAATTATTGAATTTCAAATTTTGGGGCTTAAAATATCTCCCCATTCCAACAGTGAATATTAACCACTTATTATAATTTTTAGGTATTTGCTTGTTTGCTTTTTTTCTTTTTTGCCTTGCTCCAGACTATAAGTCTCATAGAGCTGTCAGTCATGTCTCTTTGTTCACAATGTACATTCTATGCCTTGCACAGTGTTTAGCACATAAAAACAGTAAATAATGGTTTGAATGGATGATAAATATGTTTCAGTTGTGTATATGATAACCTTCATTCTTCTCTAGCCCTGATAATTGTAATAAAATATTTTTAGTGAAAATTTTCATGCTTCCCAATTTCAGGGTTAAATTAGGGAGGTATTTATTTTTTATTTTCCACAGAAACATACATCCAGTTCCGTGCGTGTGTGCGCGCACGTGTGTGTATTTTTCCTGTTCTATTTAGGATGGCTCCCCCTTTTTCTGATAAGAGGTCAGTATGAAAGTTACACATTTATCCAGCTAAGAAAAAAGGTGCACATTGAGACCAGGATATGAGATAAGATTTGAACTTGAAAATTCAGCAGAGACTTTTCCATACTAAAAGATGGATTTCCTGCAGTTGGCAGTGGCAAAATTATTTAGCTATTAGAAAAGTTTTGTGTAATAGCAGCTTAGGCGATGTCTTCTCCAAAGGGGGCATCTTGCTTTTAACCTATTGCTGAAAGAGAAATACCATCGTCTATTAATACTACTGGAACTAAAGATGAATAGTGAATTGGCCTTGATCTGACAGTTAGTTTGACTTTGATAGCTCATCACTTAAAAAGGTTCTTTTATTTTTATGAAAAAAGCCTGACGTCAAACCAGGGGAAAAATTGATATTGATATTGAAGAACAAACTTGTAGGGCTTCCAAAAAAAAAAGTCCCTTGTGTGAATGAATGGTTGTTTTTTTTTTTTTCTTTACATGCATAACTAATTAGCTTAGGTTATTATAGGCAGGGCTGCTGTGATAGAGTTTCCGGTGGTGTCTCAGGATACCTTGTTTGTAGTGCCTTCTCTATGCCAGTCAGTCTTTGAATCGGAATTACAGAAAGTAGAGGGAGTGGATAGTCTACCGTTTCTCCTTGGATTGGGGCCACCTAAAACGATATGCTGGAAATGCTAGAATATAATCACTATCAGGTGAGCTTTATTCTTATCCATATTTAGAGTCTGAAATGCAATAAACTGAGTAATTCACGTTTTCACGCTATTGTGATAGATACATTTTCAGTAAGTACAAGTCTACTGGTTTAATGCTGTTTAGTGTTTGATACCTTAAGAAGTAATTCAATGTGGTTTTGAACAAAGCAAATATTAGTAGGATATTTTTCCCCTTAGTGCATGGCTGTGCTCTCTCCATCTGCTCCTGTAAATAGCTTGTAAGATTAAATTGTGTTTATAAAGGAAAAAAGTGACTTGAAATTGAATATCATTGATTTTTTTAAAGCATTTCTAATTCTGTATTAACATTTATAAGGAAGGGAGAAAAGTATCTTGGTGGCTTACTAGTCATGCCTTAAAAACACATACATGTAAGTGTTACACTTTTGAAAGAAACTGTTTAATGTGGAATTGCTTTTTGTGTTGTGTTCAGGATCTTAATTAAAATGCCGAATAATCATGTACAAATCAAAGTGGGAGGAATTAATCCACAGTTAGCTGATTTAATCATCAGAATGTTTCTGTTTATTTTCTACACCGTTTTACAGTTGATTCTTAATATTTTTGCCTCCCAACAGAAAGCTGTGCTGTTTGCCAAGGAAAGTGAAATAAATTGTTATACCCTTTCCCTACATTGTTGTTCTATCTTAATAAACCCTTTCAGGTGTGTAGGTGAAATATTTGTCCTACAGATAGTTACAAACTTTAAATTATTAGACATGAGTAAAAGGGCACAAGGTTTTAAAATGTACAGCTAATTAGCAAGGAAACAACACAGGGCAAAGTATTACCCCAAATCCTGAGAGTTAGACTTTAAACTTCAGTAATATCAAAATCCATTAGCACAGTGCCTGGTACATAACAGGGGCTTAATAATTTATTCTGTTGGTGGATTGGCCAGTCTCATGTTTGTGCCGGAAAAAAAGAGCTGACCGAAACTCACAAATAACAGCGCTGTCTTCTCTTCCCTCCGTGGCTATGTTCAGGTGCAGACCCACCTCGAAAACCCCACCAAGTACCACATACAGCAAGCCCAAAGGCAGCAGGTAAAGCAGTACCTTTCTACCACTTTAGCAAATAAACATGCCAACCAAGTCCTGAGCTTGCCATGTCCAAACCAGCCTGGCGACCATGTCATGCCACCAGTGCCGGGGAGCAGCGCGCCCAACAGCCCTATGGCCATGCTCACACTTAACTCCAACTGTGACAAAGAGGTAATTCATGTCTCCTCCCCTCTCCTGTTTTCTTACACTAAAATACTGTCTGTTGCATATTATCCCCACACTTGACTCTAGTCTGTCCTCAGGGCCACATTCACTGGCCTTTGTCCCAGATTTTGCAACCTGGCTGTCACAGTGCAGCCTCTTCTCACTGTCACTGGGTTATTGCGTTATGCGTCTACCGGGGGACCTGGCGCACCCCGTGTGGACCGTGGAGGGGAGGACACCTTCTCTCCCAGCCTGTTTCCGCTATGTTATCTGAGTGCTCTCTTCTCTTCAATGCCTTTCCATTTACAAAGCAGTAAAAATGCAGAGAGAGGAGAAGGGAAGGTGGAAAAGGAAAAGCAAAAATAGAAAAGGTGTGGGACAGGCGGTTTAGAAGTTCCGCTTGTTGTGAATGTCTGGAATATTATTTTTATTTCTCCCCAAGTCTGAAAAAAAAAAAAAAGCACAGAATGTGCGTGGATGGATTTGAACAATATATCACAGGAGAATTTAACAGAAAAGCAAAGGTTTAATTGCTGGATAAATTCACTTTCATTATCAAATTTTTGCTGCCGTTAAATCTGCTTTTGTAAAGGCTGGATTGGAGACAAGACTCAAACACACCTCGAGCTAATTGTTGCGTCAAAATTTGAAGCATAAAATTACCTAAGAGGAGAGTTGTAATTTAATGCTTGTTATTTCCAAATTATGGGGCGATGAGCCTCATTTTAATGGAGTTTTACTGGACTCTGAAATGTCTATGTGATTTCAAAGGTGACTTTTCTGAAATTTGGTTGATTTGATTTCTAGGGAGACTAAATCTTTCCCCATGCCCAAACCAACTGTCTTATTTTTCTCTGTCCATATTTGTCATTTATCAAGCCGAATGTGATGGAAATTCTTCCTTCATTATTTCATTTCTCGGACAGATTCCACTCTCTTTGAAAGCTTAGTTCATCCTGTTGCTACACCATCAGCCTCGTGTAAACATGTCATTGAAAAGTCATTTGCAAATCCAAGTCATGGGCTGATTTTGCTTGTGTTTTTGCAGGGATTTTATAAGTTTGAAGAGCAAAACAGGGTGGAGAGCGAATGCCCAAGTATGAACACGCATTCGCGAGCGTCGTGCATGCAGGTACTGAACTGCTTGGCAGCCCAAGGATGTAACACTTTGTAATGAGAATCTATATTTGTGGCTAATCACACCTTCCCGATGACTTAAGGTTTTTTTTTCTCCTCTCCATTGATTTTTTTTTTAATAGAGAAAGCTATGAACAGGGAAATGAAACTTAAAATGCCTTTTTCCCTAAGTTGTTTGAAGTCATTAAAAAGTGCTTAAAATACATACATTTTTATAACCAAAATGTTAAATGCTGTACTTCTTTTAGACACCATCATCAAGGTATGTTATCCAAATCTGTGGGATAGCAACTTGAATAGGCTATTAGGAAAACCAAGTTTTGTGTGTTGGTGTGTGTGTGCATGTGTATATATATTGTTTTCTAAAATAGAATCTCATGGAATATATATTTGGAAACTTTATTAATTTAATAATATTCCATAGATACTTTCCCAAGTAATTAAGGTTCTTGTATGACATCCTATTTAGTGGATGTATAAATTATGCTACAGCCATTTGTTAGTATATTTATGTTTTAAAATGTGTGCATTGGTGTCTAAAAAAAGAAGCTAACAGTTTTTTTGCTTTTCTGTATTTCCTATTAACTCACCTTGTGTTGCTTGTATCAGAAGAGAAACAAATTATTTAAAAAATTCTATCACACCAAGCCCATTACTTTTATTTCTGTAAAGTAAAATTAAATATTTACAAACAGAGGTCGTACATAAATCCCCTGGCCCATTTACCTTTTTACTGACTCAAATAGAAAACCGTCTCTTAAAAACAAAAAACAAAAACCCAAATAAAATGGTGTGACTAAAAATGGAACTTTATCATAAATAGTCTGGCAGTTATTAAAAACTGAACTTCCCATTATTCTTCTCAGGGATCACTGAATAACACTATTTTTTTGGATCCTTATTATATTCCCAGCACTGTGAACACTTTATATGGTTTATCCTGAAATCTCATAAGACTCCAATAAGGCAATGAGTATTATTAACCCCATTTTACAGATTGGCCCAGTGAGGCTCTTAAAGATTAGTCTTTGCCACTGATACAGAAAGAGGGAAGATAAAGATTCCAACGAGCCCCATGACTTTGGAGCCTCCTATTTAATTGGACTTGGCAAAAAGACATCAAGGAGCATTCCTCTGAGTGCTGAGATTTCATTGTGTACTTATGAAGCCCTATCTAAGATCCAGACATGTGTGTGTGCACACACACAACACACCAACTGGCTCGAATATAAAAGGTGTTTACAAAGAAATGTTTTCACAGACTTGTCTTTGCAACTGCTGCAATGCACATGTAATCACTGTTGTTTATTATCATAACTGATGTTTTGGTACTTCAGGAATAAAATTGATCTAGTGGGAATGTGATCTCCACGACTGTAATGATAACCTCGTCCTGGCGTACTCCTTGGGGAGTACCGAGCACACTGGCAGCTGTACAAGGAGAAACTAATTTTACAAATCATTGTAAGAACAGTGCTGAGCTAGCCAGTGGCCTGATAGCCACAGTGTCCCACATTCCCTGATGGGAGCCAGGGGCTGATTACCACCTGTATTTTTCTACTCCAAGGAGGGTCTAAGAAGGGTATGGGGAATAGTCTTTAGAGACAATAGGGAACTGGTATCCATCGTTTAAGATGTGATTTCCTGGTTCTATCCTGGCAGGCAGTTTAACATAGCCATTGAGAGCATGGGCTCAAATTGTGGTTCTAGCCCTTTGATGTGTTTGGGCAAGTTGCTTCTCATTTATCTCACCTGGAAAATTGATACAATAATAGACCGACCCTGATAGGATTATTGTCAGGGATAAATAAGTCCATGAAAAGCCCTGAACCCAGTGCCTAGCACCTAGTAATCACTCACTAATTGCTGGTTGCAGATGTCATCCTTACCACCCTTTAGTACTAATGGCCTTCAGTAATGTTGATATTTTAGGAGAAAGTAACTTCTTAGAGTCAAACTAAAGAGCATTATTTCTTTGGGTAAGAAAAGGCCATAAGTCTCCTTGGGTTGCTTTGCACAGTTTTTCCTTATATCTCCACCATTGCCCTTTTTCCTGCAGATGGATGATGTAATAGATGACATCATTAGCCTGGAGTCAAGTTATAATGAAGAAATCCTGAGCTTGATGGATCCTGCCTTACAAATGGCAAATACGGTATTGGTGACTTTTTTTTAAAGAAAATCTTGAGATATTTATAGTGTTCTCTCCCATTTCTTGAACTTTAGTTAATCTTTGTAATTCATTGAGAAATTTCTTATTAATAAAGAAGTGAATTATCTCAGGATTACAAATAAGTGACTTTAACATCAGAAATTAAGAATTTCTCATGAGTCTATCAGTACCCCCATGATAAAGCTCTGCATTCCCTGGAGTCCAGTATACTTGCAGTAGGATGCTAGGCCTCCCACTTCCCCTTGACATCTAAAGCCCCACTTAGTACAGAGCTACCAAGGGAAATGCTATGGTTTGTACTCTATACAGTAGTTTTCTAGTTGGCCTGAAAAATTAATGCAGGTTGTAAAGACAGTACCTTACTCAGCACAAGTGCTAGAGTGACATTTGAATTACCTTTCTTCAACAGCAAAATTTATTCCAGTTTTAGTTAATAAACCAGTAGTCATATTTGCTCTTACATGTTACCTGTTTACCATCTATAATTGGAAGCCTTGCCTGTATTTATTTGCTCTTACTCCTCACATTTGTATCTTATGCTTACTCTTTGCTAGTCTTAATGCAAATCTTGGTCCTTGCAATAATTCTGTGAGTGTCATTCTTGAAATAATACTCTGAATGAAGTTGGGGGTGGTATCACTGCCCCCAGTTTTAGGGTTAGAAAAGGTTAGCTAGTTGCACAAGATTCATAGATTGGCTGTGTCAGAGTTGGGGCCCCTCAGTAGATCTTTGAATAGCTAAGTCCAATCCTTTTCTCTTTCTTCTGCAAGCTTTTCCGTGAGACTGTCACATTCTTCAATAACTAGAATTTAAAAACTAACTTCCACAGGGGAGAGGGGCTGCAAGGACTTGTTGTTTAATGGGTATAGAGTTTCAGATTTGCAGGAAAACATTCTGGAGATCAATTTCACAGCAGTGTGACTATATTTCACACTACTGAACGGTACACTTAAAAATGTTTAAGATGGTAAATTCTATATCTATTTTTTAAAAGACTGAATTCCTATAATTCTCTCAGCCAGGGAACATGACTGCCCTTGATTTATACCAAAGTTCTTGGTAAACTAAATTTTTATCACTAGAAGTTTCTTTTTTTTTGCCACCTTGGTCCAGTTCTTTAAGTTCAGTTACTCAAAGTCTTGAGGGGTGAGGACTCTCCTGGAAACCTCTCCGAGGATCTTTAGTTTTGGCCAACTTCTTACCCTTGATTTTGAAAGAACTAAATGTTCTTCTATTGTGACAAACGTTTCCATGCCAGACTCTCCCCACCCTCTTTGAGTTCGTGGTTGACTTTTGTGGAACTCTTCTGCTTCCAACTCTGTGCTTCACTTGTCAGCAGTCAGAATCTTAGGATGAACATGAGCAAAACACTTGGGGGAGCTTACACTAGGGAATTTATAAATATACTCAAAGACATGGGTTTATTTACAATGTGTTCAACTCCCTAGCAGCATTAATTAGCAATGGCCTAGTCACCCAAAAAACTTTGCTGATGGGGGTGGTCGTTTTGCCAGTGGAATCAAGTGCATACTTGGGTACACTCAGGAGGACTATAGAATTGATATAGTTAAAAAAAAATTATTGCTTTTTTTCTCCAGTAGTGAGGACCTTTGCAGTCATCTGAGCCAAACTAGTACTCACACATACATCCTCTGCATTCACCATAAAAATATCAGAAATACAGCTTCTTAAAATCCTCCGATGAAAGATACTAACCCATAAGAAAAGCAGTAAAGCACAATGGTTAGGAGTTAGAATTTGTGATCAGATCTGGATTCAAACTCCAAGTCAGTCAGCCATTCACTGTGTGACCTTGCATTACTTAGCTTCTTGAAGCCCTATATTTCCCCATCTGTAAAGTGGGACTGACAATTGTACCACCTTCACATAGTCATCGTATATGTATCACATTTAACATTGGAAACATAAATTGTGCTCAAAAATGTCTAAATTGATAAGTGTAATTTATTATAATATAAAATAACTTTGATAGTATTTTATTCAGGTGGTATTCATTGAGCACCTAATGTGTCCAGCGCTATGTTAAAATAACATCATACTTAACAATCCAGATACTCCTCACAATAAGTCCTTGTGAATTCCAGACATGGGCCCCAGTTTGCCTCATAGAGAACTTGTCTTCATGACTCTTCTGAAGACAGTTGTCATGACCCCCATTTGTGTCTCTCCTTTAGACCCAATACCCACGTCTCCTCAGTTAGTCTGAGTTAGAGTAGTCATCTTACTCCTTTGTTATCTGATTGCTCTGAACTAATTTTCAGATTGACTTAGCCTGATACATCACCAGCACTGGGCATGGTACTGTGGGCTCAGGCGAGTAAGGTTTGCTTCCTCTTTTCGGGGGCTTACCAGTCTAGAAAGAAGAGACCACCTTAGACCTTAATTGGAGAAGGCTAATTCAGGAGCAGTGGGGTCATATCAGGGGAGTTCCCAGATCAGAGAGATCCCCTAGGCAGAGCTGAATTCATTCCCAGCCAGGAGAGGAGTAGCCTGTAGCCACCCTTAGAAATCACTTACTTTGTCCAGTTTTCTTTTATATTCCCACCGTGGAAAAGGCTAAATGTGGTCCTAACAGAGCCTTCGCATGACAAACTATTTCAACATTTTGCTGTTAGGGGAAAGATGATATAACATATAGGTTAAGAACATAGACTCTGAGCTAGATTTCTGAATTTAATATATATTCTTGAGTGAGTTATTTAACCTCTCTGCCTCACTTTCCTTGCCTGGAACGTGGGGATAATAATAGCATATAAAACAATGGAATCCATGTGAAAATTCTAAGAGTTACACAAAAAGCATTTAGAATGCTCCTTAAGCTCTTACTGAATGTTAGTTACTAGCTCTTACTCTTGATAAATTTGGGTTTTGATTGTCACAATTAAATGATAAAACTACAACTTACTAACATTTTAATTTTTTTCCCCATAATAAAGTTTAAACTTAATATTCTTTATGTCAGGCATTTTACCCCCTTTGTGTTATTCTTTGAAATGCTTTATTTCAAGTCAACTTCTTAAAAAACATAAAGTGGAAGAAACACTTAGAGAGGAAACTATCCTAAGGGAATTACAGTCTAGAAATAACCATTCTGAGAGCACAAGGGCCCTCTTGTACCATCACAAACAAAGAATAAAAGTCCCAGTTTTCTTGTGCTAACAGTGCTCAATTGATATTCAGAGAAGGGGACCATCCAGAGAGAAAAAAATAATAACATTTTACAATGATCATTTGCTTGGAAAAATATTCATTTTGGTGGAGCAGAACATTGAAGAACATAATTTAGACCAAGTTGGAGGCACAGAACCATGTGTATCTACCTTCTCTTTATTTGTCCCAATTAGACTGTGGCTTTGATCTGTCCATCCTGTAACTTGTATGCTGGAAATGAAATCTTGTCCATCAGATTAATGTGCTGGATAAAAACCCAGCAAAGACATACATATCTATGTTAACAGAAGAAACCGCTTCCTCTTTCTTAGCTCCAGAGGTGCTATTTTGACTGATTATGATCTTAACTGTGTTCAGGGGGAGATTTTTCTAACCCAGAAGGAGAACTATAGAATCCGTTCTTTAATATGCATGGTTAGGAGACTGGCCTTTAGTTAGAAAGCTGTATTAATTTAATCAAGCTTCCTTTTTTGTAGCTTCAATGAGTAACAGCTGTTACTACAAAGACCTAAGCCACCAGTTAGGGCATGGGCTCTTAGCCCTGGCACTATGAACATTGGCGATGGATAATTCTTTGTTGTAGGGGGTGGCCTGCCCATTGTAGGATGTACAGTAGCATCTCTGGCCTCCCCCCACTTCATGCCATAGCATCTCCCCCCAAACTGTGACAACCAAAAATGTCTCTAGACATTGACAAGTGTCTACTGCAAGGGGGGAAAACTCACAATGGGGAAGCACAGATTTTGGGTTCTGACTAGTCACTCCAGCCCTGCAGATCTCCTGATTGCTGTGTTTAGATTTGTATTGCAGTCGAGTAAAATTGGTGTGATGGTCAATTGGATACTTGGTAATTAACACAGCAGGTGGTTTTGCTGATCAAAGAGAAAATTAGCTTGACTGTCCAAACTGTAGAATGGGAATAGAAATTTTCTAGAAATACATAATTTTCTAGGGAAGTATAATGTTAGCAAACACAGCAGCTTATCAATCACTTAAGTAGCAGGCACTGTTTCACTGACTTTATCTCTTTTAGTTCTTATAAAACCCTGTGAAATGGGTGATAGGATCACCACTCTTCAAAGGGCCACATCACCCCTCAGAGAAGTTAATGTCACACAGCAGGTTAGTACCAGAGGCAGGTTTTAAACTAGGGTCTCTGACTCCTGAGCCCAGATTGCCAAATGCTATACTATTCATTTGTAAATTTGAATATCCACACTTGGCTGGCAAGCAGCAGGTGTAGGAGGAGGGATGGGGGTTATTTGTTTAAGTCCACTTAGAGATTAATTGGAAATTGGCACTTCTAATTGGTTAATATTGGCAGGTTGATACTACTCCCCAAATATGGCTATTAATATGATGCATGAACTTCTTACTAAAAACCTCCATTCAGACATAGCTAGAACTGTGGCTTTTTCTTTTTTTTCTTCTGTAAGATTGGTACAGTAACATACTGAAGGTGCCTTTTTAGTTCTGTGTCTGGCACAGAGTAAGTGTCCACAAAATTATTTTTTTCTCAGTAAAATATTCTGGCAGGCTCTATGCTACCAGCTCCTAATCAGCAAGCATTGGAAAAGCAGCTGAAGTGGGAAATCTTTTATTAGAGAACTAGATAAAGGGTTATAAGCTGCTTTTTCCACTAGAGGTAATAATGTCTGACCTCAGTAGAGTGCCCGGTAAGGCTTCTTGGTATAGATAATTTAATTCATCTCCCTCTGTGGGGGCCACTGCTGTCCATCCACGCAGGTCACAGCAACTGTTTCTTAAGTTTTTTGCCCTCCCAATCAGTTTCTCTCTGGGTCTTCCCCAGTCTGTCTCTCCCACCCCGACCCACCTGTCTGTCTTTCTATCTCTTTCTCTCTCTCTGTATATGGATCTCTCTCTACCTGTTTCCACCCCACTTTTGTGTCTTTGTCTCTGTCTCATTCCCAGTTTTTAATTTTTCTCTCTCTCCCCCTCTTTCTCTCTTTCTGTGCTTTTGCACTTATTAAGAATATGTAATGTATCATTTTACTTTAGAATGTGGTTGATAAATATTTCTTATCCTGGAGAAGCTTGTAATTTGATGTCTGTTCATAGTAGATCCTTGATGAATTAGAGGTTTTCTTTAAAGCTAGCTTCACATACCACTTGTCTGTTAATTGTCCCTAAGAAATCATCATAGCACAATTGCATGTTTTAGTTACAATTTGCAATTTGGAAACAGTACATGTGATTTGTATTTGTGGAACTATGGGAAGAAGTCTTTTTTAGTTTGTTGCATTGACTTTTGAAGTCACATTCCTGGTGTATTAATACCCATTACTTCTCCCAAAACCTGAAACTCCAGAATGATAGAGGGATAAATCTGTGCAATCTAGAGGAGTCACGAGATGTCATAGCAGCTTTATAAGTTTCAACTCTGACTCTTCATACTGCTGTATGGAGACGTTTGAGTGCCTTTCACTCTGCTGTGTTAAGTTGGACAAGAATAGAACTGAGCACTCAACAGGGCACTCCCGACCCTAACATGATGACTTATTTCAAATAAAACTACTTAGTGAAATGACAGCTAGTAAGCAAAGTCAAATTTTATCAGTTTCTTAGCTAGAAGGCCTTGAAATGTGGTTCAAGGGCATTTTAAATGATCATAATGCATTGTTTATATGCATCTTTGTTGTGCTATATGTATGTTACATCTTATGTACCTAGATCCTGCCTTCAAAAGGGAAAAAAGACTGAGTAGAAGAGAGATGTGCTCTGTTGATCATTGTGTCCTCCCTGTCCCCAGAACCAATCATATAAGAGTGTCATATTAACCTATCAGAAAGTACCTTATTCTAGGTATAGCCCCTCCCACCTCTAGCTAGGGGTTTAGTTCATAAATTATTTAGAAGTCATGATGATAATAGAGGCCAGTGGATACTGATGAGGGGAAAGACATCTGATTCTATTTTTATTTTGTGGGATATTTTCATCTGTATGTTAATGACCATTTGAAAGAATGAGAGGTAGAATATTGCAGTACAATTCTTACTAATGCCTCTTGGTCACTACACATTTTAATCACACTTAAATGCTATCTGTATTTGCTTTTCTCTGATGCAGAGTAGAATTCAAACAGTATAATTAAAGGTAAGAAGGGCTAAATGACATAAATTCTTACCCACGAAAAATAGTTATAGAAATTGTTTGAATTAAACTGGATATAGGAAGTTTCTGTTGTGGAAGTAGTGAGGTCACTAAACTGTGTTCCTGTAGTTAAGAGGTGGGAAAAGGGTATGTCTTGGGCTGCTGATGTCTATACAAATGGGCACCTCAGATTCCTTCAGTGACCTAGTTACAGGGACATGCGTTTATGACAAAAGGAAGTCAGTGTCTAGGAAAAAATAAGTTCATTACTTTCAATATGTTCAATTCAGAACAAGAGGAGAAGCCAGTTTGAAAAAGCTAACTGCTTCTTTTCCTTTTTTTTAAGTGCAAATTTGTGTTATTTTATTAAAGTCATTGGGCTCCCTCTCGTGGCTTTGTGAAGGATTTCAGTTTCAAGGAAAATAATTTCTCTAGCAATAAGGAAACGATTTCTTTTCCAAAAAGAAAACACTTTTTATTGTTTTTCCTTATAAAAGGAGGAGGGAGAAGAAGGGAGAGATGGGGAGAGGGAAGGAAGAAAATTGACTTAGGCAAAAAACCCAATTGGTGAAAAAGTCAAGCTCCATTGAACCCTATTTTGCAGTAAGAGCTAACATTTACAAAGCATCTTCTATATGCTACGATATATGCTAGGTAGTGGGTTTGCCACATTATCCATTGTCTCCATGCTCGGAATAAACCTATAAACTAAGTAGTATCACCATGTTATGGGTGAGATTCTACATCCATTTTTCTCTCAAAGTTAGGTAGACAGTGTATATGTGAGTGAATGAAAAGGTAAACATTTCATGCTTATTTTAAAAATGACTTTTTACATCAAACTACTTCTTTTAAATAAAGTCTGGAATAGGATATTGGTTTTAGCTGAATAACTTGTGAATTGTTCAGTTATTCATTTCCATCTCTGATTTTCTCTCTCTAGTTACCTGTCTCTGGAAATTTGATTGACCTTTATGGCAATCAAAGTCTGCCACCCCCAGGCCTCACCATCAGCAACTCGTGTCCAGCCAATCTTCCCAACATAAAAAGGGAGCTCACAGGTAAATACCCTCATACATGTGCTTGTTAGTGGGGATCATCTTTTAACTGTCTGATAAGCAAAGCTATCCAAATAGTGACCTACAGCTAGTTCTAACTGACCGACATACTTATTTAGGTCTATGCAACAGTTGAAACATTGAGCAATATTTCAGATAGAGGATTTATACTTAAAAATTCTTATTTCTAGTATTTCTTAAGATACTGAAAATTAGGACCACCATTATTCCATGGCACCATTACTCTATGATACCCATCATTGTGTCTATGGCTGCTCCTCCCTTTGGGGTGAGGGTAGCAGGCATCACTTTGCATTACAAAATGCTACCACACAATCTTAGGTTTGTTTATGTTACTCGCCAAGCCCCAAGAGGCATCTGAGTTTGAGAACCCTGGTCTGAATTTCCTTTGACACACATTCAAGCCCACAGTTGGGATAAAGCAACACTGTATTTCTTATATCTTCATACACCCCCCTCCCCCTGATATTTTTGCTGTATCATGTGCATAAGATTTGTTACACAGAGTAAAAAAAAAATTATAAAATGTTTTTAAGGCAAGTGTGAATTACCTATTTCACTATTTTGTTTAATGCTTTAGGGAAGGCATTTGGCCATTAGGACATGACAAAACTATCTTAGAACTGACATTCAACCATGCCAAATTTTATTGCCCTCACTTCATACCCCTCTTAAATATTTGGTCCTTGCATCGTGCAGGATTGGGTGAACAGACTGAGGGAATGGAACCTAGATTTTGTGCAGAAATTCCTATTCTGTTCACTGGTCTCTTTTTAAAAACATACTTTGGAAGATTGTGGCAGGAGAAAGACATAAAAAAAAAACATTGATGGGTTAAAAAAATTAATTAGTATGTAAAAACCATCAAAACCTAATAAACAAATAGGTACCCTACCAGGAAGGCAAAGTACCAAGTGTTAGAAAATATGCTAAATAATATCTGTATTAAATAATGATACAGTATGGTCAGACTGACATGAATAAAATTCTTATTACTTGAGGACAAAGTGAAGTTTTGAATTTTGTGTATGATTGTTTATTCAACAACAGAAGAAAACAGCAGAGGCAAGGGATGAGGTGGGAGCAGTGGGTGCAGGGGGTATAAATTGATTTTTTTAAGAGCAGATAAAATGGACTATTATATAATAAATATATTCTGGAGTCACTGGTATTTCAGAAGATGACCAATCCAGACAGGACAAGGGTTAAAATGCCAGCAAAAGTAGAAAATGTACATGAATTAGGGTTTTAACCACCAATAGCTTGAGAGGCAGGACAATGCAGCAATAAGAGAACAGGCTTAGGAGTCAACAGATATGACCTACGAGGGTGGGAAAATCATCTTTATTGTCCAGTTTTCCCACCTGTATCAGTGTCCTATCAGGAAGGAGAGAGCATGCAGCAATTTGAACATGGAAGATTTAAAATAAATAATTGTTAACCACGTATAGGCAGTTAGCTACTAAGAGAGGATGAATACTCAAGAACAGCCTAAGACTGGGGAAGTACCCCGCCCAGGAGAGAGTCCCCTCCCCAGGGCAGGAGTCTGGCCTTGCTGGCAGGGAGGTGGTTGCTGCCCACTGGATGGCAACAAGTGTCCTGGGTTGCCGACCAGAGCTGGTTCACAGCTGGTGGGCTGAGGATGACAGGCAGAAAGCCACGGGGGCAGGGCAGGGCTGGCAAGCTGAAAACAAAAAAACAAAGAACAAAAGCAAACCAAAAGACCACAAGAAAAAAGTTAAGACACTGAAGTGGAGAGTGTGTAAATAAAAGCTGCCTATAATGCCTGTGTGTGAGAAAAAAAAAAAAATGGTTTAGGTTGACCACCTTTGCAAGTAAAATAATACAGCTTCTGAATATATAGAAATAATTCAGAAGCTGACTTATTTCAATGTATATGCATATATACTCATGACTATATAATACAGATATATATATGTACAGTATATATGCGTATATATACATGTATGTAATAACATATGCATACATATGTTTCTATGGCTAAAGTTTGGTAAAAAGATTTCTATTTGGAGGTATAATTCTGAATTATGGTAGTGTAGTGTTTCACGTATCACTTCTGAAAAGAAAGTAACAAAGGTTTCTGAATCCTAAGATTAATCAAACATGTTTTATTCTGTGTTTTTTTTTCTCTCTTTGAAGGCAAAAAGTAATCCCTTACCACAAAAATTTCACAAGAGATACTGTAAATAGGCCAAATGGAGTTGTCACCAAATGCCTCTGTACCCTGTTCCTATTTTTGTTTCTGTAAACTCAGACCAGTAAATAGTTACTCCTGATTTCACTCTAGCAGGTTCTGATGGAACTTGGCTCCAAGTTCTAAAAAAATTAGTCCATTCCCATGAATCAGCTAAAGATCCAGTTTGGGAGCTTCTCTACCCAGTTTCCATGTCAGTGTGTTACAAAAGCATAAAAAACTGAAAAGTTCTGTCGCCTGAAAAGAAAAGTTGATTACTGACAATAGGATACAAACGGCAAATTTCCATAGCTTTCTAGTTACTTATTTTTTCCTAGTATGTTTACAGCATGTTGGACATCTTTGTTACTGGTATTTTACCATTTTGTAGAAGCCAAGTTTTTGCATTTTGTTGGCTATATATTACATTTGAAAAAAGCAAGCTTTTTAAAAGTCATAATTTTTAAAACTGTGTTTTTATTTAGAGTCAAGTCAAATAAGCTTCTATATGTTTAGAAAATGAGATGTTTTGTATTTTATGTTTTTGTGTGCCTTGAACAGTTCCAATTTCTAATTACTTCATTCACGTGCACAGCGTGTATTTTTCCCACAGAGTCAGAAGCAAGAGCATTGGCTAAAGAGAGGCAAAAAAAGGACAATCACAACTTGAGTAAGTTGGGTTTATATTTGTGATGTTTGAGAGTGGAGTTGGTGTTTCCGCTTACATGAAAATTTTTCCAGAAATTTTGAAGGGAAATTGATGCCTATAGTTGTTAAAGATACAATTTTATGAAATTATTTTTCAGGGAAACCAAGGTATATATTTTTCCTATATACTCTGAGATCAAACTGAATTTTTTCTTTCAGCATGTTGAAAAGTATTTATTTTCCTTGCTTATGGTAATGGTGTGTGTGCATGTGCGTGTCTGTGTGGTGAGGGGGAGCCTTGATCCCCAACTACCCAATTATAAGTGTTACTCACATTGGAACTTATTAACAAAAGGGGATGTGGGATCACCATCTCCAGTGAGATTTGAAACAAAGAAAGAAAAAAAAAGAAACATCTGGAGGGGAGTCAACTGGTGAGATAGCCTCCCAAATTTCTGACTTTACCTGTGACTTATAAAAAAAGGTCTTCTAATATGTAAATTTTTTATGTGTTTGATTTACTCATGATCAAATCTTTTAACTTTTTCCTATGAAAATTAAGGTTTTGTTTCATAAGTAAAAGAGGCTGCACAGTTAGGAAATAACAAGGATTGGATTTAGAGGTAAGGAATAGTTTGCGTAAGTGTGCATTTCTCATCTCAGGGTTTTCTATCCTCTTTTACCTAAATTGATTTTTAAGAGTATAACTTAAGTGTAAACATTTTTTACTTCTAAAGCTGATAGAATGAGGCCAGCGTTTAAGATGATAGAATAAGGGCCAGAATTATTTTCTGGTCCCTAGAAATAGTCATTTTTTTCCCCCTCAGTTTGTTGTTTGTCTTTCCAACCTCTGTCCATGTATTTAAGAATAGACCCACATACGCATGCACCCCTTGAATAAATAGCATGATTTTGTGTATGTGTTCACACAAACATTATCATATTGTCAATATTTGTTGATGTTTGCTTTTTTACTCACCAGTATGTCCTAAAGACCTTTGGCTGTTGCTAATCTAGCTCTGTCTACTTTTCAAAAATAGTTGCGTACTCTTCTGCAGTGTGACTGTGTGATATGTAGTAATCCTCCCACTGCTAAGTGTCCATGTTTTTTGCAGTTCTTCCTTACAAACAATGTGCATATGCGTCTTTGTGTACAGGGGGGTTTGTTTCTCCAGGTTATGTGCTAAGCAATGAACTGCTGGGTCCAGGAGGGGGTGAGTTCTTTCTTTGAATAGACATTTTCCTTTTTACTTCCCATTTCAGGTTTGAGAAGCTGTCCACATCTTTTAATCAAAAAATTTGATAATATTTCTAAGATCTCTCGTAGCTCCCAAGTGATTTTACTCTAAGACCATTTTTGTTTTAAAATACTTTAGAAATATGATAATTGGTCATTTTTCAAAACTTCACCTGTCTGAAATCTGGAAAACTAAGTTGGATATAGTCAAAAACAATATTCACCTTTACTTAGGCCCCTAAACTCTCAAGGTTAAGGTTGTCTAAAGTGAAAAAACACAATTGGTTCAAACTCTGAGGGCTCTAAAGTAATGTTAAAATCTCATCTATTAGAAATTAATACTCAAGGTTAGATGGCCCATTGGCATAGCTCTCCTCTTCCAGAAATTTGTCTTTTAAGAGTATTTGCCAAAATGTACAAAGTAAGACATTCATTTATTCATTCGCATTTATTTATTGAGCTCTATTGTATATGAGGCACTTTTTCTACAGAAGTGAGCCGAACAGACAAGTTCCCCAGCCTCATGAGTTTACATTTGAATCAGGGCAGACAAAAGATATGGGGGAGTAAATACCTGAAGATGGTGTATTCAGCATAAGATAGGTACTATGGCAGGACTAAAACATACATGCAAGCACTGGCAAAAATATTCATATGCTATTGAAAAAGAGAGAAATTAGTACTGTCTAAATATTCATCAGGAGAGGGTTTGTAATATCTTATGGCATATTCATATAAGGAATTGTCCATAGCTTTTAAAAAAACTGGTGTTGGTCTGTTTCACCCAACTCAGGCAAACATGTACAAATATATTACTGAGTGAGTAGAGCAAGTGTCAGAATAATATATATATATAATATCCCATTATATAAAAAGAACACACTATATCAGGTTTTGCTTGCAGGCATGCATGTGTGTGTGTGTGTGTGTGTGTGTGTGTGTGTGTGTTTGTATGAATGTGTGCATGGGGAATGTGTGAATCTAGAAGTCACCCTTATCATTGACAGTTTCCTTGGGCATGTAGATGCTAGATGGTATGAAGAATTGGCTTTTACTTTTTATTTTTTACACTTCTGTATGTTCTGCAGTTTTTTGCAAGCATGTATCACTTTAAAATAAAAATATAAATTGGGGAGGGAAGTCACTGAATTAAAAAAAATGTGGCACATCTAAATGTTGACAGTGAAAGATGTCAACAATATACTGTTAAGTGAGTAAAGATAAATGCAGAGTTGTTTTTAGTGTAATTCCACTTTAACCATATCATTCTTTCTTTAATACATCATTATTGAAGGTCTACTCTGTGCCAGCCTCATGTGGGTGCTTGGAATCCATCATTAAAAACATAAATATTGAATTAATGAATGAATGACATATGCAGATATTAGGTGGTTGAAAGTTCTATGAGGAGACAAAGTGTAGTTGAGAGGATAGAGTATCGGGATAGGAATGGGAGGTGGTTTCTAAGTAGGGTAGTCAGGGAAGGCTCATAGATACATTTGAGTCACCACCTGATGTACATGGATGCAGAATCCTTTAGCTGTCTAGGGAAGAGTGTTCTAGGCAGAGGGAACAGCTGTAAGAATTCCTAAGTAGGGAGTGTGTCCGACTTAATTGAGGAATGGCAAGCAGCCCATGGGGCTGTGAGTGGGAACACAGGTGAGTCACAATAGAAGATGTGGTCAGAGTAGGAGAGGAGTAAAAAATGAGATCAGAGAGGTAGAGCCCTCCAGACCTTTTAGGATGCCTTGAGAAACTGGCTTTTGTCTAGGTGAGGTGGGAAATGATTGGAGGCTTTTCAGCAAAGGATGGGCATGCTGTGACTTTTGTTTGAAAAAGGCTCCCTCTGGCTGCTGTGTTCTAGATAAGCCAAAGGGGTAGGTGGGGGACAGTGGGCGTGGGTGAAGCAGAGATACCAGTTAGGGGATTGCGGTAATCCAGGTAAGAGATGATGGTGGCTTCTATCAGTTAGCGGTGAAGGTTGGGCGTGGACCGATTTTGGAAATACTATGAAGGTAGAGCCAACAGATTTTTATGATGGATCAGATGTGGGATGTGCGGGGAACAAATGTAAAGAATTGATTTCAAGGTTCTGGACTAAGTAACTGGAAAGGTGGGGTTACATTAAGTGAGGTGGGGAAGCCTATGGGTTAGCTGTTTAGCATGGAACACCAAGAGTTCATGTTGGAGTGTTGGGCTGCCTGTTAGACTTCCACGTGGAGACATCTGAGTCTGCAGCTTTGGGGAGATGTCTTGGTTGGAAACACAATTATGGGAATCATCAGTGTGTATATGGTATTTAAAAGTATGAGATTAAATGAGGTCACCAGGAAGTGAATAAGGTTAAAGAAGAGTCTTAGTAACTGTGTCCCAGATGTGTATCTACACCCTGTGTGTGTTTATTTTTAGAGCATAAAGATAATCACAAAAGGTACATGAGAAACTTAACAGTGGCCGTATCTGGATCATAGAAGACTTCTATTTCACTTTATGTATTTTATTTTAGTATTTGTATTTTTATGATTATTATATGCTTGGAAAAATAAGAAAACATGTCATGCTTCAGAGTTTTGGAGGAGGTTCCCTAGAAGGTCAGAGGTCCAAAATTTTCTTCTACAGAATCATTGAGTATCATTTAATATGTCTATTTAATAAAAGCCTAATGATGAGACTACTATGTATAACTGATTTAATCCTAGGAATAATCACTCAGGTAGGAAAAAATGCAATATATATTGGGAAAGTTGTGAATGATATTATTTCTCTAAGTGTACAGAATATTACTAGGTTGAACGTAAGTATGTATTAGATTATAAAATGTTTAGAGGAAAATATTAACATCTTTAATCCAATGTATTAGACCTTAAGTCATTTCAAATTAGAAATATTTATTGCCTCATATGCTTTGCTATTTCACCCTCTCTTAAGAAGATGATAATTTAAGAAGGTAAACATACAACTGGATTTATAAAATAGAAATGCTGTTAGGATGCATGGTATAGTTAACATGCTAAACTTAACTTCTAGGGCTGTGTTATTCAGTACTCTAGCCACTCGACATCAGCTTGTTGAGCACTTGAAATGAGGCTAGTCCAAATTGTGATATGCTGTAAGTGTAAAATATACACTGTATTTCAAAGATGTGGTACAAAGAAAAGAATAAATATCCGATTTATTGATTTTTATATAAATGACATGTTGAAATTATACTCTTTTGGATATATTGGGCTTAAAATATATTAATTTCACCTATTTCTTTTCACTTTGTTAACGTGATTACTAGAAAATTTAAAATTACATTTGCAACTTGCGTTATATTTTTGGTTGACACTGGGTAGAGCAGGGTTTTTCTATGACCTATAGGCTTGGAATGTTTTTTACATTTTTAAATGGTGTTAAACAAATCAAAAGAGGAATAATATGTAATATGTGAAAATTATGTAAGATTCAAAATTCAGCAACCATTTCTTCCTGTCAGTAGACTTGATTTGCAAAAAGTAGTCATGGTTAATATCATGTTGTTAATTCTGTCAATTAAAAATTCATAGAAATCTGTTTTCTTTCTTATATAAACACCTACATGTCATCAGTTATGCTGTTTGGCCCACAGTCCCAAAAGTACTCACTCTCTGGTCCTTTGTAGAAAGATTGCTACCCTTGGTCTGGCACATCAGGGTTGAGTTTGGGCCTGTTCCCCACTTACTGTTGGTGTCCTCACCAAGTCCCTAATATTTCCAAGGTAGTTTTGTCATTTGTAACTGAAGATACTAATTCCAGTTTTAGGGTCATTATAGGATCAAATAAGAAATTACCATTTCAGGGCTTTGTAAATGATAAAGTTCTGTACAAAGGTAGCTCATTTTTCAAAAAGTGCTTTACCCTCAGTACCAAAAACATGATAGTAACAGGTAAATACAGATTCAGATTGTTGTGGCCTGGCAAAGTTAATATGCACATGCCATTAATGAGATATGCTAAATGTGTATGTGGTACCATTACTAATAATAGCCCTTTCCTGTGCTCTTTTTTGAAGTTGAAAGAAGAAGAAGATTTAACATAAATGATCGTATTAAAGAACTAGGTACTTTGATTCCGAAGTCAAATGATCCGTAAGTACAATTCAGTGTTAATCTGCATTGTCTGTTTTTTTCAGACCTTAATGTTATTTCATGTATTGCAAAAAGTGCAGTCATAAAAACTACATAAAGAAGTACCCCCCTCTCCCTTTGGTTCCTTTTCTGAATATTTCTTACACCTTTGTTTTGGTTAATCTCATCAAACTAAAATGTCAAGAGAAGTAAACTAAGTTATGCAAAAGGATTATTGGACATGAATTGTTTAGCTTTGGTTGTGAGGAGGTGACTTTCTGAATTCTGAGAATCCTTGGCAAATGAACACTCTTGACGTGCTAAAAAAATTCTAACAGTTCATACCAGACAGAAGTTTCGGTAGCTGGAAATGCAAGATTTGCTGACTATTTGCTCTCCAACTCAGACACTGTCTATAAGCACGAAGCTGATGTGGGAGACTTGAAGTTTAACAGTATTTAACAGACAAAAGGTCAATTTAAAAAAATTTGCATGCCCTTTGTACATTTTACCAATCCAGAAAAAATAGTAATTTTTCATCCTTTTATAAGTACAGGTCAGCTAATTTGGATTTCAGCTCACAGTCTCTGTCCCCTACCCCCTCCTCCTTTCAGAGATAACAGTTGTTAGGATAATTTTCCTACCAGCAATGTCAGCAAATAGAACAACAAATATACAGTCTTCATCCATTAGAAATTGGCCCATTTGAAGTAAGGTGCTAGAGGATGTATACATTTTAATGGCTCCCACAGGCATTCCATGAAATTAGCCTTTGAATATGACCTTTTAGCTATCTAATAAAATGTAAAGATGAAATCAAGCATTATTCATGGAAGGCTTATTAAATTTGCTATTCACATTATTGTCAGGGAATTTGTGTCAAAATAAAATAAAGCCATTGCCCATTGTAAGGTGGTTTTGATGAATGTTCAAGCACAATTTCCATCACCAACATTTTGCTTTCGCAGATTTCAAGGAAAGCCATTTTGAAACTCAAAACATTAAAATTCTCAGTTCTACTGCACAAATTTATCCTATGAAGGGGCTGTGACCTTCATTTCCTATAGTCAGTCTTGCATGATAGTTGAAATTGAATTCCCATTTTCCTGTTCTTTATCAGCTTTCACTTGTGAGCATATTCTTTTAAACTGTAGCATGTGAATCTTTTTAGCAACATATTATGAAATTATGGGACTGCTCTATTTGCGTATTTTCTTTCTCTATTATATTAGAAATACTTATGTGTTTATAATCCGAACTGATAATGATCTTTAATTGTAGGCATTGTTTTAAGATACTATGAACTATAGTCTATTATGGGGCTTTTCCCATACCAGGTTTCCAGAACAGGCTCTCAGGCTGCTATGGAGACACAATCTAGCTGACGAGGGTCCTGACCCTAAACCCTTTCCTCCCCTAGAGCAGATCTGTTTGTAATGACGTATATATTGAGGACCTGTGTACATGTTTGTGTGGTAAAAGGGTCACTCTCATTATAAAAGAAAAAAGAAAAAGTTTGAAAACCCTACCTGTAAGTCTAAAAGTATAATTGATTGATTGGGTCTCACAAGGAAGCAAAACCCAAGATATTGGTTGAAATAGTCACTTCTGAAAAACTGAGTAGCTGCTTTGAATTATCAGTACTGGTTTCTTACCTTATTGGTCTAGGTAACACATCTTTCATTATAGTTACATTTCTCTCTGGCTGCTAACATTTCTATTACTTTGATTTCAGTGCTGAACATTGAGCAAACCTGCTCTGTGCTCAGTCTGAGGATCTCAGGACACCTCCCTGGGTTGCCATCTTTGGTGCTCAGACCCCAGAGATCAACTGCAAGGAGCACTCTGGGGGCCATAACTGCCTCTCGTGGGAGAACTTCTGTTTTGTTCTTCATATAACTCTTATGAGGATCAATTACTTGCTGGCTTGTTTTAATGGCCCTCCATTCACATGTCCCAGCTGATACTTCCGATCTGCTTTGAGCCCCTATAGATAATGCGGTAGACTTGCCGTATGTTCAATTGGTTTTGTTTTCATCCTTATCATTGTCATTGTCATGATAAATATCATCTATAAAAGAGCTCAGATTAAAGTCTTACAAAGCTAGTACTTATGTAATGATAATTTCATTCTTAATTATTTTTCTGGAGTGCTCTAAATTTTTCAACTCACTTCTACCTACACCTAATGATATCCTTAATGACGTTCTTTTCTCATATATGCGTGCATTAGAAGCTATAGTGATAAAAAAACTAAAAAGCACCAAGCTTAGGCTGTCTGGGTTTGAATTCCAAAGCAACCCTTTACTAGATGTCTGACCTTGAGGAACATAATTGAATTTTTATACTTGGTTTTTATCATCTGTTAAAAAATGAGGTGGAATCAGAATATTCCTACCTAGTCTAGTTGTTTTGAGGACTTAGTCACATAAGAGGAAGAATAGTGTAGTAGTTAAAGGTATGGAGTCTGGAGCCAGTCTTCAGGTTTCCTGGCTCTGCCTCTTCCAAGCTGTGTTGGCAATTGACCGTTGGCAAATCACTTAACCTCTCTGTGCCTTCATTTTCCAATCTGTACAATAAGGATAATATTAGTGCCTACCCATTGATGTTGTTATGATTAAATGAGCCGTGAAACACCTTAAAAAGTACCTGGCACAGAGCAAATGCCTTTTAAAGATAACCATTGCAATTATTATACCGAGCCCTTAACACATGCTTGCTCCATTATTTGAATTGACTTCTAAACTTTTCACAGCACATTCATATAAAGTGCCTCCTTTGATTCCAGTAGCATACCTATGAGGCTGCTCATGCAAATTTAGTATCGCTGATATATGGGTGAGGAAACGTAGATGGAGTGAGATTAGATAACCTGTCCATGAATATTCATGATAAAATTTGAGTGTGCACCTTGATGTCGCACACAATCGAGTAGTGGGAACGCATGGATTTTTTTTTTTTTTTACCATAGGTTATTCTGTCTGTCTCAGTGAGTTAACTTTGATAGTCCTAGAAATCTGTAACTATTTAATATAGTATTTAAGAATATTGACTTTATAATCTACAAACCTAAATTAAGCCCTGCTTCCCCCTTACAGTAGTAGCTCTGTGACCTAGGGTAAGAAATAGTCACTGTTTCAACTCATGCACAATGACCCTTTCTTTCAAGGTACTTGTCTGGGTTAAGTAAGAAGATGTATAAGAAGTAGGTGAACAGTGTCCAGCACGTGGCAAGTACTCAATGATAGCTATTATCAACTTATAATTGTTATCACATCTGTAGAACTGGGATGCTCTGAATATTGAATTTTCTTTGAGCTGGAAATCCTCAAGAAATCTGTTTGCTTCTGCTTTCATTACAGAGACATGCGCTGGAACAAGGGAACCATCTTAAAAGCATCCGTGGACTATATCCGAAAGTTACAGCGTGAACAGCAACGTGCAAAGGAACTTGAAAACCGACAAAAAAAACTGGAGCACGCCAACCGGCACTTGTTGCTCAGAATACAGGTACGAGGCATGTGATGTGTGAAGTTCACTCCGTGTCACTGACTCAGAGAAGGGAGAAGAAAGGGTATAATGAGCCATGAGGGGGAGTTGACTTTCATTCTTCCAATACAGTTGATATTCATTATTCATGAGTTTCCTATTTATGAATTTGCCTACTCACAAAAATTTACTTGTAACCCCCATATCAATATTTGTGGCATTTTCACAGCCATCCGGGGGTATGAGCAGAGCAGCAAGTTGGAGTTGCCAGATGTGACTGTTCCTCCTTGAGGCTGACCAAAGCCATGCCCTCTTTGCTTACTTCAGCTCACCCTGTAGACAGTTGTCCTTTTTGTAGTCTTTCAGAGCCATATTTTTCACATTTTTGTCTTGTTTGTGGGTGATTTTGCTGTTTAGAATGACCCATAAGCATAGTGCTGAAATGCTGTTTATTGTTCCTAAGCCCAAGAAGGCTGTGATGTGTCTTGGGTAGATTGTGTTATTCAGACGTGAGTTATAATGCTGCTGGCTGTGAGTTCAGTGTTAATGATTCAACATTATTTATTAAGTTAAGTGCTTTAAACAAAACACACGTAACACAAGGTTATGTGTTGATTGGTTGATGAAAATGTGTGACCAGACACTCACAGAAAACTAACCCTGTATTTCCTCCAGGAGCAATGGTTATTTGCTAATTCACTGTTCATAGCAACTGTATAGGACATAACTGTCTTAGTCCATTCGTGCTGCTATAGCAAAGATACCATTGACTTGGTGGCTTACACAGCAAACATTTTTTTCTCAAGTTCTGGTGCTAGGAAGTCCACAATCAACATGTAGACAGATTTGGTGTCTGGACCACTTCCTGGTTCATAGATGGCTGTCTTCTCACTATATTTTCACAGGGCAGAAAGGTGAGGGATCTCTCTTAGGGCCCTTTCTAAAGACACTAATCCCATTCATGAGGGTTCTCCACCCTCATGACTTAATCACAGCCCAAACTCTACCTCCAGATACCATCACACTGGGGGTTAGGTTTCAACATAAGAATTTGGGGGAGGACAGGACACACAGATATTCAGTTTGGAGGAGGAGGGGACACAGATATTCAGTCTAGGTGAGGAGGGGACACACAGACATTCAGTCTAGGGGAGGATGGGACACATGGACATTCAATCTAGAAGAGGAGAGCACACACAGATATTCAGTCTCTAGCACTAACTACCTGGAACCATGAGGACTGATTGTGGTTGTTACAGACAAAGATGCTTTATAGTATTTTGCAAGGGGGACTATATGCCTTTTTAGGCCATGGTCAAAGCCCATGTATTTAGGAAAGTTGGAGACATCCAGAGTATTTTATCATCAAGATAAAAATTTTGGAAAAAGTTACATATTATGAAATTATGCCATATGTATCTTTAATGTACACTGTCTACTCTTTAGAGAGAGAAATGCTGATTTTAATAATATGTGAAATTCATCTGTCACTCTATTTAGTGAGCATTATGGACCTGCGTAAATATGAAATGGGGTCCCTCTTTAGTAGCAGCTCCTGGTACTTCTCTTGGGTGCTTAGTCTCTCATGCTGAGTGTAAAGACACAACTTGCTCTGAAATTGTCTTCAAGAAGAGAAAGAAAATCTATGTCTCTGCCAATGACCAAATGAGCTTGCATGAGTAATTTTAATTTACTTTTTGACCTTGAACTCATTCTGCTGGAAGAGGCAGCGATGGTGTACCTTCTTCCTGAGATGCACCCACCCCTTATCAGATTTTGCCATAGAGCAATGGTTGTTTTTCAGGTTTGTGGCGGAACTACTTACAGAATATCAGTGCAAACTGTGGCACTTCTGAGACCAGAGTGTTTCATCTAGTGGTGTTATCCCAGACACTGAACTTAGCGAATGGAGTCATTCTTTTTAATGCCCCACTGTTGACATTTCTATGTGTCCCATTTCTCATTTCTCTGCAGTGATGTTCAGCCATGGGGCAGGAGGCAGAAATCAGCTCTCCTCTAGGGGCGCACTATAGAATCCTGGTAGTTACTAGAGGTTATATGTAATTTGCAAATTCTCCTTTCCCTCTCCCCTCGTTTTTTTTTTTTTTTTTTGGTTTTGTTGTTGCTTTTGTGCTCCATCCCTTCAGTAAGTAGCTATGGTTCTTTAGTCTCTTGAACTTAGTGTACCCATTTATATTTGTACTGATGTGTTATTTCTTTATACAAATATAAAATATAATAACTGTTTTGAAAGAGAGGCCAGGTTTTAAGGTCCCAAACATATTCATGTGAAATATGAATATTGTGAAATATGTGAATTGGAAATTCCACAGTGAAATGTCTTGGGTTTCTTCCAGTGACAGTGTGAGGCAGTCTTTAAAACTTTTGCATATCATGGAAAACATTAATCGGGAATGCTCTGCAATGCAATGAGCCTGAGTTCTCTAGATGAGATTTCTCACATTATTTAGAAGTCTAATGCTTTAATCAGCTGATAAACTTTTTAATTAAACCATAAAAGGTTAGAGTAAGATGTTTGCCTCACTTAATCCAACCATTTTTTTTTTTTAAAGACAAACTACACGTGTGGGGGTGCTATTCTTATTAGTATGTTGGGGTAGATTTATAACAGTGCACGTTTTCAGCTTCAGCCTAAGGGCTTCCCTTCATTTTCACTCTAAGTGAGGCATGCAAAAATTTTCACAGAAGAAGGAGCATGAAGCCTTAATATCATTGGAACTGTAATTTTATTAAATGGCCCAAGGCTTTAAAATGATTCGTGGAGTTACTTGTGTTTCTGGAGATTGTGTAAAGGAATATGCACATACCTGTGTGATGTCTCAGATTTCCATATCTTCCTTGTATTGTATCCAGAGAAAGATCTTCAGGTCAAACAACCTTTAATGTAACATTACTTTTCAGGACATTTATTTCTGGGCTGTGGGCAAAAGTTGAGAGGCTCTAACATGTTGGAAGGTACTTCTTCCTCTTGCATGAGGCAAGGTGACTTGCTTCAAATGTATATTCTATTGTTACTGTATTATTCTATCACAAACATGAAAAGGGTGGCATTAGTATGTCAGAGCAGAATGCTCTTCAGGAGTCAATTGGGGTCTCTACAGTTCATTTTAGGAGGGCCCCTCAGAAAGGGAAAGGGAAAGAGCTTGCTTGGAAGGCATTATGAAATGGGGGATGGGGGGATTCTCTGACACTGAGGCAGTGAATTAGGCAGTTCAGGCTGCATAACAAATACCAGACTGGGTGGCTTAAACAACAGGAATTTATTTTCCCACAATTCTAGAGGCTATAAATCCAAGATCAAAGTGCAGACAGGGTTTTTTTTGTGTTTTTTTCTTTTGTGGCCTCTCTTATGGCCCTATTTTCCCTATGCTTACCCATGGGCTTACCTATGTGTCTTCTGTGTCCTAATCTCTTCCTATAAAGACATCAATCCTACTGCATGTTAGATTAGTGCCTACTCAAGTGATCTCACTGTAACTTAATTAGCTCTCTCCAAACACAACCACATTCTGAGGTACTAGAAGTTACGATTTCAACATAAGAATTTTGTGGGGATACACACACACACACACACACACACACACACATATTCAGCCCATAATAGGAAGGATATGAAGAAAGTGTAGGAAGAAATTGCTCATCTTACACATGAGAACTTTCTTGTGAAATTAAAAAAACAAAAACCAAAAAACTTCCCTTGGCCTTGGTGAGATGGACTCAATAATACTTTTTGAACTTCAGCTACTTGTGTAGAACCTTCAGAACTTATGCCATTATTTCCAAAATTGTATGTGTTCACAGTGCCTTAGGATCTTTGTAACTCTTTCACTGCACCCTAGACCAAAGCAATACCTACTATTTCTTTGCTAGGTCCAAAGCACCTATTACTTAGCCACATACTGACTAACAACTTTGCAGCCACTTGAAAATATTGGATGTTATGTAAACAAATATTGTACTGAATTTTGTCTCTCAGGAAAAACAAATAAATACTTTGTTGAAAATAAAAATATATATATAAAACATATACATTGAAGGAAAGTGGGCATTTTTATTTTCCCTTTAAGCACCCACACTACTACTAACGGGATGTGTGTACTTGGGGAACACTGCGCAGCTTTCCCAGCCTTGGAATCAGGTTGGACACTGTCACCCTCATTTTCAATTCCACATTGATTTTCATGCTGTATTTGCATTTTTATCACAGCAACCACCGAAGACCCGGCCTTAATGTTAAGGTGTGATGGAAAAGAATGTGGCACAATCTGATACTGAGATTGCCAACTACCTTGAGTTGGATGGTTCTCACTGTTGGGTGCCATTTCCCTTAGAATTTAAAAATAACCCCAGTACCCTCCAAGCTCATTGTGGCACTGCTGGATATGTCTGCTCAGGCTAGGGACCACAGAGACTACATTATTTATTGAATATTTCCCTTTAATCAGCTCACATTTTCAAATCTTATTTTTGTATTTTAACTGCTTCTCATTGTGAATATTAACAGTTGTGAGAGACTGTCTCTATACTTAATACATAACAGAATCCATATACCTCCTAAAAATCATTCTATGTACCACCAGTGGTCCCTATACTCTAGAAATACTGCATTTATTAATTTAAAAGAGCAAAAATAATTTTAATAATTGCTTTCCTCTAGTGTCTGATTCTTTAAATACTTTACTTTTTAGCGCAATTTTAGGCCCCAAAATTGAACAGCAGGTGCTGAGTTTCCCACATAATCCCAGCCCCCCCTACTCACACAGTCTCCCCATTACCCACATCCCCCACCACAGCAGTACATTTGTTACACTTGAGGAACCTGCACAGACACATCATTGTCACCCAAAGACACTACTGCAGGGCTTACTGTTGGGGTCATACGTCCTCTGAGTGTGGACAAAAGAATGGTATGTATCCATCATTATGGTATCATCTACAGCTGTTTCACTGTCCCAAAGTCCTCCGTGCTCCACCTGTTGAACTGTCTGATTTTCACTGTTCATTTTAGGAACTTGAAATGCAGGCTCGAGCTCATGGACTTTCCCTTATTCCATCCACGGGTCTCTGCTCTCCAGATTTGGTGAATCGGATCATCAAGCAGGAACCCACTCTTGAGAACTGCACCCAAGACCTCCTTCAGCATCATGCAGATGTACCCTGTACAACAACTCTTGATCTCACAGATGGCTCCATCACCTTCAACAGCAACCTCCGAATGGGGACCGAGAGCAGCCAAGCCTATAGTGTCCCCACAAAAATGGGATCCAAACTGGAAGACATCCTGATGGATGACACTCTTTCTCCTGTTGGCGTAACTGACCCACTTCTTTCATCAGTGTCCCCCGGAGCTTCCAAGACAAGCAGCCGAAGGAGCAGTATGAGCATGGAAGAAACCGAGCATGCTTGTTAGCAAATCCTCCTGCTCTGCATCCTCACAAACTGCTTCCTTTCTTGATCAGCAGATTTAACAATTTACCTGAAGGGGTTTTCTTGATAATTTTCCTTTAATATGACTTTTTTTTTCATGCTTTATCAATAGCCCAGGATATATTTTATTTTTTAGAATTTTGTGAAACAGACTTGTATATTCTATTTTACAACTACAAATGCCTCCAAAGTATTGTACAGTATGTGTACAGTATCTGTGAACTGAATTCACCCCAGAATTTAGATTTCTGAGCAAGAGGATTTTGCATCAGAGAAATTCTGTCAATTTTTATTAAGAGGAGACTGGGTTTGAGATTTTTTATGCCTGTGACTTCTTTGGAAATGAAATGTAAAGTTTAATTAAAAGAATGTAAAGCAGCCAAAAAAAAAGAAAGAAAGAAAGAGAGGAGAAAAAAGAAAAGCAGGAAAGAAATCCACACTAATCCTTTTCCATTTTGTAATGTATCGATTTATTGGTACTGCCTTAAAGATACAGTACCTTTCTTGCATCATTTACTCTTTATACTGCAAACTATTTAAATAAATACTATATTCTGTAAAAGAAAAAAAATGCAACCATTTTCACAAGGATTGTTTGGTCAACACGTGTAACTAGTACCTTACTTAGGTGCAACTGAAATTCAAGGGAGACAGACCAAGGCTCTCAGCCACTGTGTGCTGTTAGCTTCCCTCATCAATAAGTGTGACTCAGTTTTTCATAAGATATACTTTATTTTGAAATGGAAGTTAATGTCCTCTCAAAGTAAAATATTGAGGAGCACTGAAAATTTTATTTCTTTTTTTCCTTCCATTTTGCTTTTGATAAGGAAACCCAACTGTGCGCATTTCTAATCGGCTTTACTATTTTTATTTTTTAAATTATGTTTTACTGTTCATTTGATTTGTACAGTTTCTTTATTATTATCATTCTTTTCAATATGTTTGTCTTAATTTGTAAGGATATGCATCTTAAAATGGCAAGTTTTCACTATTTTTACATCTCACTGGTGGTTTCCCGCATTCTTTGTACACATGCGTGAAAGAAAACTTTCATGCAAGGTCTTGTGTTTCAAGAGAGCTTTGTGAATATTTTGTATATTCCAGTCTCACCAGAACTGTTTTTCCACACATGTAAGGTATAATATTAACAGGTTAAAATCAGTTTCCTAGAAATAATAAACTTACATATTTATTTTTAGTGATAGAAATGTGGCAATAGTCTTGGAGACTGATAGCCATAGTGTTAACATGCCCATTATGGTCATTTAAATTGGGGTTTATTTCAGCAAACTTGCTGAAGTTTTTTAAAGAAAGAAATACTGTATTGGCAAATTACTGTTACTTGATAACAATGTTTTCACAAGCAGTGACTCTGTATAGTTAGATTCAGTGCATTATCTACTTATGTAGTCCTATGCAATAACAGTAGTGTTACATGTATTCTGTCAGGCCTCGATGTTTCATGCAGATGACATGTGGTGTTAAGAGCCAGGCTGTGGAATGGAATTTCTCAGTAGCAGCCTACAGTTGAATAGGAAGTGGCATAAAGCATATCCATTCAGAATGAAGTGCCTTAAATATAACAGTAGTCTTTTTTGGACTAGCACTGACTGAACTGTAATATAGAAGAAAGTTTCAAGAAGGTATCCATAGTCAAGGGGAACATATAGCATGGTGCCTATGTAAAGAGCTTCCAGTTTCCTTCAGATATTTTTAATATTAAATATATTTTAGTGACAGTGCCAACTTCTTTCATCAGGAAACCTTATTCAGGAGGTTTTTTTTTTTTTATTTCAATTCCACATTGATTTTCATGCTGTATTTGCATTTTTATCACAGCAACCACCGAAGACCCGGCCTTAATGTTAAGGTGTGATGGAAAAGAATGTGGCACAATCTGATACTGAGATTGCCAACTACCTTGAGTTGGATGGTTCTCACTGTTGGGTGCCATTTCCCTTAGAATTTAAAAATAACCCCAGTACCCTCCAAGCTCATTGTGGCACTGCTGGATATGTCTGCTCAGGCTAGGGACCACAGAGACTACATTATTTATTGAATATTTCCCTTTAATCAGCTCACATTTTCAAATCTTATTTTTGTATTTTAACTGCTTCTCATTGTGAATATTAACAGTTGTGAGAGACTGTCTCTATACTTAATACATAACAGAATCCATATACCTCCTAAAAATCATTCTATGTACCACCAGTGGTCCCTATACTCTAGAAATACTGCATTTATTAATTTAAAAGAGCAAAAATAATTTTAATAATTGCTTTCCTCTAGTGTCTGATTCTTTAAATACTTTACTTTTTAGCGCAATTTTAGGCCCCAAAATTGAACAGCAGGTGCTGAGTTTCCCACATAATCCCAGCCCCCCCTACTCACACAGTCTCCCCATTACCCACATCCCCCACCACAGCAGTACATTTGTTACACTTGAGGAACCTGCACAGACACATCATTGTCACCCAAAGACACTACTGCAGGGCTTACTGTTGGGGTCATACGTCCTCTGAGTGTGGACAAAAGAATGGTATGTATCCATCATTATGGTATCATCTACAGCTGTTTCACTGTCCCAAAGTCCTCCGTGCTCCACCTGTTGAACTGTCTGATTTTCACTGTTCATTTTAGGAACTTGAAATGCAGGCTCGAGCTCATGGACTTTCCCTTATTCCATCCACGGGTCTCTGCTCTCCAGATTTGGTGAATCGGATCATCAAGCAGGAACCCACTCTTGAGAACTGCACCCAAGACCTCCTTCAGCATCATGCAGATGTACCCTGTACAACAACTCTTGATCTCACAGATGGCTCCATCACCTTCAACAGCAACCTCCGAATGGGGACCGAGAGCAGCCAAGCCTATAGTGTCCCCACAAAAATGGGATCCAAACTGGAAGACATCCTGATGGATGACACTCTTTCTCCTGTTGGCGTAACTGACCCACTTCTTTCATCAGTGTCCCCCGGAGCTTCCAAGACAAGCAGCCGAAGGAGCAGTATGAGCATGGAAGAAACCGAGCATGCTTGTTAGCAAATCCTCCTGCTCTGCATCCTCACAAACTGCTTCCTTTCTTGATCAGCAGATTTAACAATTTACCTGAAGGGGTTTTCTTGATAATTTTCCTTTAATATGACTTTTTTTTTCATGCTTTATCAATAGCCCAGGATATATTTTATTTTTTAGAATTTTGTGAAACAGACTTGTATATTCTATTTTACAACTACAAATGCCTCCAAAGTATTGTACAGTATGTGTACAGTATCTGTGAACTGAATTCACCCCAGAATTTAGATTTCTGAGCAAGAGGATTTTGCATCAGAGAAATTCTGTCAATTTTTATTAAGAGGAGACTGGGTTTGAGATTTTTTATGCCTGTGACTTCTTTGGAAATGAAATGTAAAGTTTAATTAAAAGAATGTAAAGCAGCCAAAAAAAAAGAAAGAAAGAAAGAGAGGAGAAAAAAGAAAAGCAGGAAAGAAATCCACACTAATCCTTTTCCATTTTGTAATGTATCGATTTATTGGTACTGCCTTAAAGATACAGTACCTTTCTTGCATCATTTACTCTTTATACTGCAAACTATTTAAATAAATACTATATTCTGTAAAAGAAAAAAAATGCAACCATTTTCACAAGGATTGTTTGGTCAACACGTGTAACTAGTACCTTACTTAGGTGCAACTGAAATTCAAGGGAGACAGACCAAGGCTCTCAGCCACTGTGTGCTGTTAGCTTCCCTCATCAATAAGTGTGACTCAGTTTTTCATAAGATATACTTTATTTTGAAATGGAAGTTAATGTCCTCTCAAAGTAAAATATTGAGGAGCACTGAAAATTTTATTTCTTTTTTTCCTTCCATTTTGCTTTTGATAAGGAAACCCAACTGTGCGCATTTCTAATCGGCTTTACTATTTTTATTTTTTAAATTATGTTTTACTGTTCATTTGATTTGTACAGTTTCTTTATTATTATCATTCTTTTCAATATGTTTGTCTTAATTTGTAAGGATATGCATCTTAAAATGGCAAGTTTTCACTATTTTTACATCTCACTGGTGGTTTCCCGCATTCTTTGTACACATGCGTGAAAGAAAACTTTCATGCAAGGTCTTGTGTTTCAAGAGAGCTTTGTGAATATTTTGTATATTCCAGTCTCACCAGAACTGTTTTTCCACACATGTAAGGTATAATATTAACAGGTTAAAATCAGTTTCCTAGAAATAATAAACTTACATATTTATTTTTAGTGATAGAAATGTGGCAATAGTCTTGGAGACTGATAGCCATAGTGTTAACATGCCCATTATGGTCATTTAAATTGGGGTTTATTTCAGCAAACTTGCTGAAGTTTTTTAAAGAAAGAAATACTGTATTGGCAAATTACTGTTACTTGATAACAATGTTTTCACAAGCAGTGACTCTGTATAGTTAGATTCAGTGCATTATCTACTTATGTAGTCCTATGCAATAACAGTAGTGTTACATGTATTCTGTCAGGCCTCGATGTTTCATGCAGATGACATGTGGTGTTAAGAGCCAGGCTGTGGAATGGAATTTCTCAGTAGCAGCCTACAGTTGAATAGGAAGTGGCATAAAGCATATCCATTCAGAATGAAGTGCCTTAAATATAACAGTAGTCTTTTTTGGACTAGCACTGACTGAACTGTAATATAGAAGAAAGTTTCAAGAAGGTATCCATAGTCAAGGGGAACATATAGCATGGTGCCTATGTAAAGAGCTTCCAGTTTCCTTCAGATATTTTTAATATTAAATATATTTTAGTGACAGTGCCAACTTCTTTCATCAGGAAACCTTATTCAGGAGGTTTTTTTTTTTTTTAAAAGAAAACAAGTTTAAATGTCAAATGTGAACTGGTGATGGGTGTTGGAGAATTCAGAGAGGAGTGATTGTCAGATGTATGAATGGATGGCTTATGTGAATATAATCAACTGCATCGTTCGTATGCATGTTGGGCAGTGAGAATCCTTGGAAACATTGATGATGCTATCAGTTTTATAGCTTTATTAGTTAAGGGGGTAGGGAAAATTAGTTCCCATTCTTTCAACCCACTTGATTGTATAGCTCTTTTCCTAGAATAGTGATGCAAATCTGCATGAGCAGCAAAGTGTACCATAGTGTTCATTGATACAATCATAGCATTGTCTATTTTTCTCTTCATATTTATATGGGGGGAGGGGAGCTGGATGCAAAAGTGGAAAATCATAATGGTATGATGCTAGTTTTCTTTAGCTGATTTCAAGGGTTCTTAAAAATAGAGTGAGGTTGACTAACTCATGGTCCAGGGAATGTGGCCGGGTTAAGCAACCTGATAGAAAGCTTTGTTGAGTGAAAGCATGGCATCTTGTACCACTACCCTGACCTGACTCGCAACTCCTGAGCTCACCATTGCCTGCTTCTCTGTCCCCTTCTTAAGAGACAATTTCTGGGAGTGGCAGGTGAGAAAGCCCAGGAGAATGCTGCAATCTCAGGGGTGGTTTTATTTATTTCTTGTTTGCCAAATAGAGTGTGGATTCACTTTAGGGACTAGTTAAGCCAAGAGGTAGTGGTTTGGGTTCACCATTTTGTGACAATGACAGAATGATCCACACCACTCCCCCCATCCCTGGGTGCAGAATTGTGACTTAGGGTTGGGTCTCTATATGGAGTAACCAAAATGCCAAACTTGTCCACCTGCCTCTGGGTAAGGCAATGGAAATACCAAACCTTCTGACTTTGCCAAAAACCATACAACCAACCTGGTCACATATAGGATGACAAAGTTCTTTCTGGTTGTTTTTAAATAATAAAGCAATAAGAACAAATAAAATACATAGGAAGTTAAAAGACATAAAATAAAGCACAAAGGAATGCACTTACTAACATTTTTTAAAAATGCACTGGGGGAAAGTTAATGTTGATAACAGTATATTTAAAAACCCTATTTCTTGAAAAAAATGACAAATGACTGTCTCTTGCGGACACTTGGTACTGTAATGTTAAATAGTCACCTGCTGTTGGATGCAGCAATAATTTCTGTATGGTCCATAGCACTGTATATTATGGATCGATATTAATGTATCCAATGAAATAATTGAACTGTTGTTCTTGATAGCCTCATTAAAGCATTTGGTTTTTCACATAGTGGTGGCCAGTTGTGTTCAGTTAATGCCAATTTTGAATATTGTTTGCCTTATCAAACATGGGAGCACATATTGTCTTCTGATTTAATGAATAACAAATTGCATGAAAAATTTAAAGATGCCAGTAAGTACTTTTTATTTGTTTAAAATGCCATTCTAAGATACTGCTTCTTGGTTTTAAATGTGTTTTATTACTTTGTGACTTCCACTCAGACGAACTATCATTATGCAGCTTTTACCCCCTCTGAATTTGGGGAGATTTTAAACTCCCAAATGCCAAGAATTCATTTTAGATACTGGAGTTTTATTTAAAATGTTCCATTGAGAGGTGGCTTTACAAAAAAAGACAAATTGGCAGAAAAACTCTTGCATATTTACAAAAAGGATATTGGATTTTTTAAAATATAACTTTATAATAATGAAAGCTTAATATACCCAGGTTGCCAGCTCCTGGCTGTTTTTTTTTTCTTCTTCTTTTTTTAAATATAGCACTTAAGAATCATTTGATAAATGTTGGATTTGACTTGGGAAGTGTCAGACAAAACATGTCTTTATTCCCTAGCTAGACCTTAAACTTCTGCCCTCTTAAAAAAATACTCTGGTTTAACCTCTGGAGAAAATGAGTAAGAAACTTCCTGTAATGCTTCTGATGTGATTGTCAGCTTTTTCTTAAGTCTGGTTTTTTTTCCTTAAATTGTAGTATACAATAACTGAGCTCTTTCTTTTTCAGAGTTGTTTGAATTATTTATATTTCCCATAGAAATGTGATTATGTGATGTCTTAAAAATATGTAAAAGTAGGAAGATTTCCTATCTGAACAAAAGAATTTTCTTGAGCTACATTGAAAGCAGGTAAGTTGGAAGTTGGAGCTGTTCATCTTGAGAGATCTGCATCAGGTCTTGAACCCAAATTTCTTACCTGTCAGGCTTACCTATTAACATTCACTTCACAATCCATAAGGATACTTGACCTCTAGCTTCCCTACCTGTGCCTCAAATTCCCCACATAATTATGTTATAGTATTGTTACTTGAACATCAACATTTACCTACAACTTATATGACTATTTCATATCCAGAGGCTTATATTTCTTAAATTTATTATTAAGTAAACTCACTTTAAAGACAAATATATCCATGAAATGATGAAGTATGGATTCTCAGTTAAATTTCCTAAGTTTGGATTTTATTTCTGCCCATTTCCAGCAGTGTGATTGAGCAAGTTACTAAACTCTCTGTGCCTCAATTTTCCATTTTGTTCATTGGAGATAATAATAGTGGCTAGCTACTACATGGTGTTCTTATAAAGTCTAACCAAATTAATACACTAGAATTTTTGTTTGGCAGCACATAGTAAATGACTGATAAATGGTAGCTGAATTATCATCATATTCACCTTCATTATTAAAATAGAATTGACTCTCTGGACCACCTGAAATCATCATGTGTGTCAACAGTGGCATGTAAAATAAAGCAAATACTGTGAGAAATGCTCCATTTTAGCTTAGAACTACTATTTGTGTGAATTGGTAAGGTGTCAGATGCCTCAGGCCACTTTAGAGAAGACCTTGCTGTCTCTAGATTAGAATCTATGAGAGAATTAATAACAAACCCAATTTATCACATTTTTTAAAAACATCTTCATAAATGACCTAAAATTTAAATTGTACTAAATCTGTATATACTCTGTGCATGTGCCTCTGCCATGAGAATTATACTATATTACTTCCAGAAAATATGCCTTAAAGCTGAAATCTCTATTATATTTCCTTGAGAATTATACTTTTTAATTCCTTATGATATACAGTGATGTTATATATCTAAGGAGGGATGTCTTGACTATATCCTATCTGCTCACTTTCCTATCAATATTTAAATGTTTTTTTCAGGTTTTATTTTCAATTATACTTACATTTGATGTCTTCTTTGGAACACCATCTGAGGAGTTAATCTTCATAATCCAGCCAACATAAGTGAACCTTTAGAACTACCCTGTTTTTATTTTTTTGTGTATGCCAAGATTTAATGCATAGCCAAGTAGCTGAGGAAAGCTTAAGAGGAGTGTTGTAAAGTTAGATTTCCATTATATTTAGAAAGAGATGGTGATGATCTCCTAATTCTTCGCTGCCACATCTGAGGCTCAAGAGCAATGGCTTCATGTCCTCGCCCACACTAGCATGAATTTGTAATATACATCCTGTGCAGAATATAAATGAAGTTTCCATCCCATTCCCAGTTTTCCCAAGAGGCATGTATCAAAAAATAAAAATAAGCACAGAGTACATTTGCCATATTAGCACCATAAAGCCTTTGTTTATACATAAATCTAAGATATGGCTAATCTTGTTTGTGTTTGATATTTATAGGTCTTTGGAGCCTATTACCTATGTCAGATATACTGGAAAGCAATATAATTGTATCCAAATCCAAATAAATCTCCGCAAAATTTCTAAATGGTAAAGCAGTTTGCTTTCGAAAAATTTGCATTTAAAATTTCTAATTATGGAGTCAGTTGAAGTTATATGCAAATGGGAGCAAGTGTCACTCAAAATTCCTTACATATTATTCAGACAGTAAAATCTGTGTAAACAGAAACCACTGAACTAGTGTTTCCCAAACTGTACTCTATGGAACTAGTTGTACAAACTGTTCCAAAATTTGCTTTGGGAACTGGGGTTGGAGGTAGGGGTAGGAAGCAAAATACTATGGTTAATTTTGAGGAAGTTAACTTTGGGAAATGCTGTGTTAAACAAATTTGAGCTGTCACCTCTACTGCAAGACTTCTCACCAGCTAAAATAGGCTAATGTGTGTTGAAAGTTTTCAGGATTGGGAATAATATGTCATGTTTCCCAAACTTATTTGACCACAAGGTAGTGTGTGTGTGTGTGTATGTGTGTGTATGTGTCTGTGTGTGTAAAACACCTGTCAATGGTTCCAAAAGACATAGTTTGGGAAATTTCAGAGCTTGTACAGAAATTATATGGAGTTGATAAGGAGAATGTCTTCTGATTCCTAAGGTAAGTATGCTTGCATTTGTTTATTATTCTATAAATAGAAATAGAAACCATTGTCACTAAAATATTATTATCCTGAATAGATTAGGTTTTCATTTCCAATGAAAATATAAAATTCTGGTTATGGAAACTATTGCCATTAAAATATTAGTATTCCTGACTTCAAAAAGTAATTTGTTCTCATTTTCAATGAAAATACAAGCTTCCTTATGCTCATATTCAGTGTACTTTTCCTATGAGTGAAAAAAAAAGCTTTTATATTGCATGTCTCCTAACCCTTTAAATAGACACCTGATGTTCAGGAAGTAGGGTGGAGACCTTGGTACATTAGAATTGGTTTATAATTTTAGGTCCTGCTCATTATTTTTTTGGTGAAAGGAAGTTAAGAAGAATTGTATTCCAGAATTTACGTAGTCTTGTCAGTGATTTCTTTTTTAATACAGGCAAATCCTAACAGATAGACTAGGTCATATCTCATAGGTTCAGTTATTGGTTGTAGGCTAACCCAAAAAAATTATATTGATCATCATTTACCTGAAGTATATTACAGTCCTAAGATTGTTCTAGAATTGAACTACCCTATATTACAAAGTCTGAGGAAAAACACATTGGCAATATTCTCACTACTTACAAATAGGATCACAGATTTCTTTCCTTCAGTGTCTTTTTTTAAATATATATATATTTTCAGGCTCTCTCTTTGCCTGGGAATAAATGGCACACAAAAGAATTTCACTCCAGTGAAATGGAGGAATTTATTGGCTCATATTGCCACAAAGTCCAAATGGCAAATGTAACTTTATGCGTGCCTGAATTTAAGGGACACAATCTTCCTGTCTCTAATTTTTGTCTCTAATTTCCTCCCTGCAGCCAAGTCTCCTCTGTGAGGAACCCATTAGCATTTTGAAAGTCCAGTTTTAAGCCAGAACCTCTTTCCCATTTCTATGGCAAAGCCCCTGAATGAGTTGGATCAGGCCTACTTGAGTCTAATCACCATGACCAGAAGAATGGAACTCACTACCTGGCCAGGTCTCGCCCCAAGGTTCACTCCAGTAAATTTCACTCAGCAGCTCCTCAACCATGTGGACCAAGAGAAAGGAAGGTGGGATTTGTTCAGACTCCAAAGGGGCATGCCGCCCCTAAAATGGCAAAAAGATTCTGGGTAGGCCAAACAACAGATACTTACTACTCATTGAAGATTTTTCCAGAAGATTGGGCAGGCTCTACCTTTGCCAATCTCTCGCTGCTCCCAGGTGCATCCATCTGGAATTCTCTTTTCCTCTACCTTTGAATCAGGATGATGCAAGGGAGGGAAAGAAGGTATTTGATCCCTATAGCTGTCTCACCCTTCCCACCTTTCATGGCTAGCTTTTCATAAACAGTTCTCTGGCTCTCAGACCCCTACTCAGCCCTCTACCAGGTGGAAAACTAAGGACCCAAGCTTTTTGATAAAATGTTCAGAAGACTCGCTAAGCACAAGTTTCTCCGAATACACATGGACTCTTAGGTCATGTCCATAGCCCACTGGATTGTCAGGATTTTTTCAGTAGCCCAGGACAGAAACCAAACTCCCATTTGGCTTTAACTGCAAAGTAGGGTTTACTGGTTCACAAAACAAAAAGCTCCAGGGCTGAAACTAAGAATGGTGACCTCAGATACTCCAAGGACAGCTCCATAAATCATTTGTTTTCTCTCTTTACTATTTAGGTTTTAGATTTTTACCTCCTTAGAGAAGAGGGCACTCACTGATCACCTTTTGGAAAGGAAGCTCCCCATGTATCTTCGTGACACGCCATGTTCATTTCTTTCATAGCCAGTTGATTCTTGTCCTCCTCCTCCTCATCCCCACCTTCCTTAAACTAATTTGAACTGATTTCCTGTCAATTGCTTATTCAGTAGTCATACCTGTGATCAGTAGACAAGGACTGGCACATTTTGCCATAATATTGTCAATAAAACTGTAGTCTTATTTTAAAAAACATAAAGCA